TTAGACTCAGCTTTATAAACTGAGCAGTTCATGTTCTAAGAGAGCAAAAACTGTTTACTCCATTACATCTTACCAAATTTTATTGTGGTCTTTGGTCTCATTCTGTCTAATCTGGGACAACCACAGCAAACAAAACTATAAATCTGTACTAAAAAAAAAAAAAAGGTTGCTAAAAAGATTGATAGCAAAATCACAATACTCCATTCCTGAATATAAATTGTGATTATAACCCAAAAAAGAACAAAAGGCACTCTTGCAGGAATTCAACTGAGGAATTAGTTTAGTAGGAGAGTAATCATTCTTGTCTGTAGCCCTCAATTAACATTAACTGTAAGAAAAAGCTTATTAGGAATATTTAAATTTTAAAGTCTCTCTGTGCAAGCATATCTGAATTCCCAGAGGCTAGTTATAGTGCAAAGTGTATTAATTAAGATATCGTTTTGGGAGATCCTTCTTTATCCAGTGTTCATTATTAACATGAAAGATAGTGGAAAGGTTTTGATTTTTTATAAAGATTTTAGTCATTGTGACAGGGATTCAAATGATGAAAAGGAGTATTTGAAATGTTAATGAAATTCTGATCATTTTACAGGACTTAGTAGCGTTTTGACACTTCTGCCCCAAACAAATGATTTGCACTACTTCGCAAAAACCAAGGGCAAGGTATTGTCAAAACTCTGGATTCTTGGGGTCACTTTTTCTAAATGGACTAAAGATTTGGACTAGTACAGTGTAGGGATTTTTCTATGTTGATATGTACAGGAAGCCACATTCATTCCACAGCTCCTCTTGGCCTGTCTAAACTACTTATAAGATTCATAGTCCATTTCCCACAGCAACCCTCCTTTGTCTGGAGTGACGATTGGACATATGACCAATGTCAGAGCTTTATTGCACTGCATTTTACCAAATATATCCTTTACCTGCTGGAGTCCCAGGCACAGAAAAAGTCCCTTTATCTATGCTGACAGGCTCAAGAGAACACTGGGTTTAACTTAAGACCATAGAGAAGGCTTCTAAAACTGAGTGGAGAAGCTGGGAATGTGAATGTGTGAATTAGACAGAATTATGTTAAGTCACTGGGTGAAAAATATAAAGTTTGAGATACAGTAGTGAATAAGAGACAAGATGGAGGTTCTTGGGAATTGTCTGCTTTTCTTCCTTCTTCATGGTTTTGGGTAGTACTATGTAATTGGACAGAAAAGTACACAGTGCAGAACACAGGTGTTTGGTTATTGGGTTAAAAGTAAAAATAAATTAGTTGGCATTTGATAATTGGATAGTTTATGCTTAAAAGGCCTTGTGGACAGAGCCCAAAGTCACCATGTGTAGTTTGTTAGGTTAGTGTGTAAAAGTACTTGCTGTCTGTAAACATGTAATATAGATAAGGTAAAATAAACATCCTAAATCCAAATGCGAAAAGCATCTCTCTGCTCATCAATCCCAATCCTGGGGAACAGAACTGAACACTTTTACATTTGGTACCCCTGGGACTTCTACATTTACCTTTCCATCTCTCACATGAGAGTGGTTAGATGACAAACAGGGCTTACACATAGGAAATTAGTCGAGTTTATTGTTGCCAGTCAGGCTGTGCCAGCCATTAACATCTGCTAGTCAAAGCAAGCAAAGAGACAACTTTATGTGTCAGTAATACACCTGGGACCTGTGAGAACAGTCCTCCAGCTCTTCTGCAAGAGGCCTTGACAGATTCTGCCAGAAAGATTTGGTGCCACTGCTTCCCTAAGTTTTGAAATTCAGGACACTTTCAAATCTTAGACCATGATTCCATGTCTCTAGGCACTTTTGAAAATGCTGACTTATGCAACCAACGATCTAGACTAACCTGTAACTTTTACCTGTGCCCACAAACCATAGGGAAAATGGGCTTTTCTAATTTATCACAAACTCATAATTTATCTCTTGCAACTTATCCCTGTGGGCAAACTCCCTTTTTTACCAACAAAAAGTTAAAACCTGACCCTTTAATAGCCAGCAGAAGGAGACCTGAGTCTTTTTGGAAACTGTGTCAATGTTAGGTGGCCTCTCTACACACCTGCTTAATGTCTGAGCATACCTCAGGTTGACTTTTACCTCTCCTCTTTGGAATTCCTTCTGGGGTTTGGGCACAGGTAGGCATGGCTGTGCTAGTGTTTGTATTTAAATTCTTTGAAAAAGTTTGAGTAAAGAAGACACAACTTTTGCTTTTAGGGCTGTGCTTTCCTTTCTTCTCATAGACAATCAGGGCTCTGAACACTCAGGACAGTAGGTCTTTTTTTTTAGAGGCAAAAATTTCTATCATCATTGCTGGCTCTGCAAAACAACTGATATGGAAGAGTTGTTAAATATATAATGGTGTCCATGGGCTTACCATAGCTATAGGTTACATACCAAATGTAACCTGAGACGTATTAGTAAAATTAGAGGCAAAGAAGTCTAAGTGATGTGGTAATACGACCTCTCCAGGACAGTTCAAGATTCTGATCACACATGAAATATGAACTAACATGGAATAAGCCAAATAAAGGGTACCATGTAAATGGAAAGCATAGCTTCTGAAGACAGTTCAGAAGAACTCTACCTTGATTAGGCTAACAAGCCAAATACTGAAACAGAATGGATGCTAATTCCCTATAAATGCATCAGAGAGGTAAACAATAAATTACATAAGCCAGAAAAAAATACTGGCATAAGCATACATGATGGTAACTAGTAATTAATAAATTTAGCATATGGTTTGCAAAAAAGAATCCTAAATGTTATAGGATTGTCACTGCAGTAAAGACTTGAGTTTGGCACAGTAGGTCTACAGAAGGAAAACACAGGTTTGGGGTTTTTTTCAGTATGAAGCTAAATTTGTGAAGGCATTCATGTAGCACAGTGGCTTATGATCACAGAGGACTAGTCCTCTGTTCAGCCACCACAGTTAAAAGACAGCTACTTTTCAGCATCAGGAGTCCTTTAAGGTATGCTGTCCACAGTTACAGTTGTACCACACATGTTCAGACACCAGCCACATGAGCCAAAGGAACCTTTTAGTTTTGCAGTAGAAGCCTACTCTGAGGCAGGTATTGACTATTCACTTGTCTCTTACCCTGGAACAGATGATTTGACCTGGCAGACCCCACAGACCATGTCAGACAAATCTCTACAGACTGTGCTGGGGAAGTTGTCAGCTACCTCAGATGTGAACACCACACTACAGATACTTAAAGGTGTGTAACATGATGTTAATGCATGCCCCTGTTTTTAACAAAAATCACCTAAAATTTCAAAGAGAAACAATAAACCAAACCAAACCAAATGTACCTCTAATATGAAACCCTTCACTAAACTGAGAACATCTCTGGTTTTCAATTTGCAATCCACATATGGAAATATGATGAAAGGAAGTGCACTTCTGGTACACTAACCTAATGGTTAGTTTATCAGGAAATCTTGCTAGATAAAGGCTTATTTAAGTTCTGTGTCAAAGATTTACAGGATCATTTGCAAAGTTTAGAACTTTGCAATTTGGTAGCAAACTAGCTACTTCTGGCATGGCCTGTCATTTTATAAGCATAAACTCTAGAGACCAAAGGCAAATCTGAAATGTACTTCTACTAAATTTACTAGAAAAAAATTGCAGATAGAATTACCATATATACCCAAGTTTTTGGTCTCAAATTATGATTTTAATCATACATTAGTAACGATTTACATGCTGACTGTTTGGCATGCAGCATCTGGATCTCTTTATTCTGTGCTAAGGGGATGAGAGATGACAACATGACCATAACCTCCAATTTAATGTAGTTTTTTTGTGTTGCATTCACAGATATTCCATTGTAAGGACAGTAACTGTGATTCTATGGACAAATGAATCTGTATCAACCAACTTGTCTAGCATAAGAAGAGAAATTATTTGTGTGTGCCTGTAAAGACAGTAGAAATTTCTATAAGGTTTATTGAATTTTAAAAAAACTTTATTAATTAGTTGCTCACGACATATTGCCACAAGAAAGACAAAGAAAAGATCTTAAGAAGTAATTCTAAAATAATGGCTTGAAGAAAGAAATATTGAAATGCTTTGGCTGCTAAAAAATGTGGAGACCTTTTGTAAAAGGAACAGAAGAATTTCCATATGTATCAAGCATTATTTGCATTCATTAGCCAACGGCAATTTAGTAGCACTATTTTTCAAAAACATCCATACTCAAATGTTATCCTGTAGCAGGAGATTCAGTCAAGATAGCAATCTTATATTAGCATCTCCTTCAGTTAAGAAAGTAACGGGAAAAAAAGGGTGGGGGAATCCCTTGACTGCAATTATTTTCAGGACATGAACCTGGAAACATTTTTTGCTGTGTTCTTCCTGTAGTTGTCCTAGTTTTCCTATAAGCAAGGGAAAGGCCACACATCAGCACCCATCTATTCAGCTGCTGGGTGCTGAGGGTGGAGGGTCTCTGACACTACCCCGGTTGCTGCCCGTATCCATCCAGAGATGCTGGATGCTTTGTCGACTGCAAGGTCATTTCTCCCCGCGTGCTTTGCGGGGCCCTCATGTTCAGGGAGGGTCAAGGAACGTCCCTCTCTGGAGAGATTCAAAATCCCCCTGGACTCGTTCCTGCTATAGGTGATCCTGCCTTGGCAGGGGTTTGGACTGGATGATCCCCAGAGGTCCCTGAGCTGCTCTTGGAAGGAGATCCTGATCTCAGCGTAACCTCGACGTATGGGCTTCAGGACCCGTCACATCGCACCTAAGTCAGAACACGCCTGGTTTTTGCAGGGAGATGCCCCGACCCGGTGCCCTGCTGTCTTGGGGAGACCCAACCAGGGGGGCAGCCTAAGGGCGGGTGACACGGCCCTGGCGTGCCGAGGCGGAGCGGGGCCGGCGATGCGGGCGGCGGGCGGGGACGCGGCGGCGGTGCCGGGGGCAGAGGCCGCCCGCCCGCCCGGGGCTGTGGCCGCCCGCCCGGCCAATGGGAGCGGCGGTTGTTGGCGGGCCGGGAGGTGGCGGCGTTGCCACAGCAGCGGCGGTCGGAAACCGAGCCCAGCCCGAGCCGGCGGTCGGGGCGCGCCATGGAGGGGCTGGAAGGTGAGCGCCGGGGCCGGGGCAGCCGGGGAGCGCCCGGGGCGAGGCGGGTACTTTGTGTTGCGGCTGGGACACCGCTCGGGCGGTGGCGGCGGTGGGAGCGGGACCCGGGCACCGCCTTCCCCGTTGGTGGAGCCCCCGCGGCCGGGAGTGCCGGGGGGCGGCGGGGGCTGAGGCGGGCGAGCGCCGCGGGAGGGGGCAGCGGGCAAAGGCGAGAGGCAGCGGAGCCCGGGGCTCCGGGCGGCGGCAGGACCGGGCTCCCTGCTCTTTGTCTCGGGCGCTGCACGGCTCCCGCACCGACCCTGCCGGCCCCTCCCTGCGGCGGCCGCGCTCCGAGCCCGCTCGCCGGGGCCCCTGCGGGCGGGGTGCGGCGCAGCGTGCGGGCATCTTTGCCAGGAGCCCGGCTTTTTTTGCTAACAGATGGCTAAGGTGGGTGTTAAGATCCGCTTATCATGCTAGGGAAATGTTCAATGCGGTGAAGAAAACTAGGTATGAATTTGCTGACAGGGTATTTTCAACTTTATCCTGTGGCGGTTGAATTAATGAAAACGTTCTTGCTTTCTGAAATGATAACATCATTTTCAGCGATGATGTTTTCCATCATAACATAGATATCAGCTTGGAATTCATGAAGTTACAGCTTGCAATCTGAGCATTTTTGTAGGCCTGTCATTACGTTTTGCAAGCTGCTTTAACCATACTACTTAGAAAAATACAGACCTGTTCTGAGAAGCTATACAACGCAGTCACTAAGTCTTGCATGCTCTACTTCTGTAGAGATAACTGAGTGCTTAAATAGGAGTAAGCACAAACTAGCCTTTGTTCTTTATACCTTCTAGAACAGTTGAAGGACTAAATTAATTTTCACAGAATACCTGTGTTCTGTCTTTAGTAGATTTTACATTAGTTGGATCCTTCTAGAGCCTAGTGACTTCATCAAGACTCTAAATTTGGACATAACTTGGCATTAAAATCCCAAGAGATTTCTTTGATCCACTCGGCATTCTTTGCTGACTGTTAATGCCTTTGAAATTTGAAAGATGTTATCCAGTGTTTATCAAATAATGCCTTATCAGGCATTTCAGCTCTCAGGACAATGGTGTGTTACCTCTCCAAAACAAAGAGTTTGCCTTAATTTTGAGTAAGCTATGCATTTGACTGCATTTGAGACCGTACATCATCTGCAGTGCATCTATCAATTGATTTGGCTGTGTGCTGATTTACCAAGGCCAGCTATGCTTGCTGTGTTGTGTAAGCTCTAGCACCTTAATTACAGGGGGTAGGAGAAAAGTGCATCTAGACACAACAGCAGAATCCTAAAAAAACTTGTGATTTTTTTCATAAAATTTGTCCAATTTCTGACTTGTTGGAAATGAAACCATTATCTTGCTTGTATTTCAGAAGTTACTGGGAGTGAAGGGAACTGCTAAGTCATAGGTGAAATCTCATGTTTTACTGAACCTTTTCTTGAAAGTACTTTCAAATGCTAGAGCTTGTCAAAGCATTTTTTCCATCATGCGAAATGATTCTTCTGAATGCTTGAGATTAATTTCAGAATAGCACAGGAAATAAGTCATGTCTAAAACTCCAGAACTCCAGTTGTCCTTGCCGTATGAACACTCATATCTCACACTGTTATCCAGTGTCCTTGAATGCAGAAGTTTTTGAAACTTAAGAACAATTTTCTGCATTTTTGTGGGTCATTTTGTGCTATGTTTTTATGCTTTAAAAACCGCCACAAAGTAAAATTCTTCCCTTTCTGCTTCAAAACATTTGAAGCAAGTGGGTTTGCTCTTATTTATTTATTTATTTTTGCTCCTGCAGTTTTTCAGTTTAAGCTGTCTCTGTTCATGCATATTAGCTTAGGCTCAGATTAGGTTTTTGTAGAAAGGTTGCTCTAGGACAGAAAAAAATGTAGGCAAAATATTTACAAAAATAATAATAACAACAATAAGTTATTTTATTGGGTATTATGCTTTTATTCAGTCATTGCTTCTCTGGCAACTTAGAATACCATTGCTGGTTGCCATCTTTGATTAAATTTATGTTTGGATGTGGAATTGCACTGTCATACCCATCTGACAGAAGTATGGGCAGCTTCTGCAATCTGGCTCAGCCTGCTGTCTCATTATATTAGTGTTTAGTGAAATAATTTCCCAGAGCTGACTGGGGCAGTAGGTGCTTGACAGCTGTGTGTGCGAGGGTCGTGTTTATGAAGCGCAGGACTTTATCTCTTGACAGCAGTCTCTTGGTGTGTCTGTGATGGTGGAGGACCCTCTCAGGCTCAAGATGCTTGTCCTGGACTTTCCAGCCTCAGAAGCTGGTGCTTTTGGTTGGCTGAAGATCAGCATTATAGATGAAAGATCTGTTTTACTTTGGTTCATATAAGCATGCTATTTATAAGAAAGATCTGTACCCAGTTTAACATGATCCTTTCCAAAAAGTGGAGAGATGAATGTGTAATAGTTGGCATGTGGAACTGCATTAATGACATTTAAAAAGCTAAATAATATTTAAAGTGTCACAGTTGCATTTTCTCACTATGTGCAAGTTTAAATGTTCAGTGAAATGGCAAAGTAGGTTTCTATGTCACTTAAAAGTTTATTCTAAAATTTACTTTTGTTGCTTCTTTAAGGCTGTTGCTCTATGAGGTTATTTTTGTCAGTATTGTTATATTACTAGACTGAGTTAAATTTGTACCTTTAAAGTTTTGTAAAAGTAATGAGATCATGCTTGTCATTAGAGGTGACAAACCTGATATTAAGTCTAAAGTCGCTAGCATTTGTTACTTTGCAGCTGTTCTTCAATTTTCATTTAACTTACCGATGAAAATAGAGCAATAGACTGGCTCTGTCTGACAATGTAGTGATCTCTAAGGTGAGATTAAAACTCCATTCATGAGTAGTTCACCACGTGCTGAATCTCAGGACCGTTTTTGATGGATTAACATGTTGTTGTTGCTTTCACTGCTGGATATCAAGAAAAAAGCTGTCACACTGGTGTGTTTGTTGCCCTCTTTTTTACTTGAGCAAGATGGAGCCAAGCACTGAATTCCTGACTTAATTTAAGCTGGAGCGGTCCAATGGTGGTGTTTGATCAGCTTCTCTCCAGTCTGTTGTTTTTTCTGGGAGGATGCCAACAACAGCTGCTTGAGCCAACTAAATGCCGCTTCCCACACTTGTTCACAGCCCATCCCAGCCTAAGGAATACGGGGCAGAGGGGCAGCTGTATCCCAGGGCAAAACTCCAGCTCTCTGTGGCAGTTCATGACAGTGCTTGCCCAGCCCCACACGCGAGCAGCCAGAGAAGGCTGATTGTGACTGGAAGAGGATGATGGCTCAGGAAATAGCTTGCAGTGTCAAACCCAGAGCTTTCCCTTGTGGATCTGTGTAGGGACTACACTGAGCAGTCTGGGTGTGTCCTCGACATCCCTCTGTACAGCATCTATTGCTGAGAGCTGGCATTTGTCCCTGGACCCTGCCATGGCATGGGGAATGTCTGAGATGCCCTGCTCCACCCCTAACAGTGCAAGATCTCTCCTTTGGGGTTTTATGTTAGTAGTGTGACTCTTGAGAGCAAGTGCTTATTCTTGTTTTGACAGGATTTCTGAATGCCCAATCTTATTTTTCTCCCTAATAGTGTAGAAAATTATGTAGAAAAGCAAAAATAATATTAATGCGAGTGTTCTTTTGCTTTTAGAGTTGATCTTTGCCTTGCCCCACTGGATCCATGCAGCAGCTTCCTTACTTCGGTGTCCGTTTTCTTTAGCTCCATTTGACTTCAGATTTCAGCTTTTATTTTTTAATAGGTGTATCTTTTGTCCCACAAAAGAAGGAATTAATTTTATTGTACGCTGTTCTTAAAACAGCAACTTGGAAACTGTTAAAGATTGAAATGCAAAACTAATATTAATGTATATAATTTTTAATAAGTTATTTGTCTCTGATAATGAGATATACAATACACAATGATAAATGTGTCTTTGCACTGAACTGATGCTTCACTGGGCATACTTGCACCTCTATTAAGTGATCTAAATTTGACACTCTATAGCTGGTCAATGTATTGACTTTTTTTAAGCCATCATGTTGTTATTTTTTAAAAACTGGTTATTTTTCTTAAGGAAAAATCCCAAAAGCTGAGTTCAGGCTGATATGATATGGGGTAGTGTACTACCAGAATATGTTTCAACTTTAAAGGAGAGGAAGTAGACAAGAATGTGTGTAGACAGGAATTTGAAGTTTTCAGATTAGTTTCTTCAGTATCTTAGAGCTAACAGATTTTATGTCCTGTTCTATAGTTTTTTTAGATTTCTTGCATTTTTAACTTAAATTTCAGAAGCTTGATTGAGCTACTAATTGACTTCAATTGGTTGAATATAGTGGAAAGATGAAAATGTTTTACCTGCACACAACACGGTGTGGTTGTCTTCAAAAGCAGGTGTTGAATTTCAGTGAAACCTGGTTTCAGGAGTGTGGTAAGCACTTGACCAGAGCAGCTGAGGAGTGGGCTTACTTTGTAAAGAAATCGTGAGGGAGAGGCAAACCAGGAATCAATATATTATAAATTAAGTTTATTATCAGAGTTTTTTAAAACATTATTTTTTGCCAGTTAAGTTCCTGATTTAGGATGGGGTTGCTGTGTCCAATTACACTTGTGTTGTAGAATGCACGAGCCCAGGTTTGTTTTGGGGATCACTGTTGCAAAACAGTCTTGGTTTAAGGCTGGTGTGAGAAGGCAAGTCTTTGCCTGACTGCCCTCAGAATCATCACAGTGCCTGTAGCCGAACACAGGAGAACAGTGTGCTTTTGATGCCAAAGCAGAATATTTACATGGGTTTTGCAGGTCACATGCTTCCTAGTGCTTCTGGTTGAACTTAAAGCTTGTTAATAGAAGGCTAGATGATACATCTGGAATGCAGGTCAATAAAATACTGCTGCTTGTTTGCCTTTGGTTTAGTTGCATTTCCATAGGCTATGCAGGGAAAGGTTTAATCGATTTTTC